ACACCTATAATGCTAGTGATTGGAGAGGTGAAGGCAGGAGGGTGGTAAGTTGGAGGCCAGCCTGAGCAACTTAACCCTGTCTTTTTTTTTTTTTTTAAGGGAGGGGGCTGGGAATGTGGCTCAGTGGTAAAGCGCCCAAGGTTCAATCCCAGTACTCGGGAGGGAGTGGGAGAGGAGTGAGTTTTTGCTGTGAGGCTAGGAACATATAACTCCAGAGGATAGGAAGACTATAGCATCTGAAAGATAGGAAGACTTTGGAAGCAAGGTAAATTCAGAAAATCATACTGCAGTAAAATCAAAATAAAGGAAGAAACACATGATTGAAAATTTACTTCAAAGTACTAGCTACAACATATGCAGATGTAGAAAGTACTGATGTGCATGCTTATCTTTCTTCCTTTTGGATGTATGTACAGAAACATCACTATCACCTTCATTCTAGGAATAAAGAGATTTTTTTTTAAAAAAAAAAAAAAGAGATTTACGTAGATTTTAAACAAGATTTCTTATAATTTTTCAAGAAAAGGTTGGCCTCCCAAATAAGACCTAAGGAAGCAAAGCATTGAAGGTTAGTATTTAAAATAAAATTTCAAAGTAGAATAGAAAAACTAAAACAACTTCGAAGCAGGGAAAAAAATGTACATACATCTTTAAAAGTAATTATATAAACACAAGAAAGTTAGGATATTTAAGATGAATTCTCTTAGAAACAGGGTCCTAAATCTGGATAAATAGAATTTACCGTTCCTAAAAGATACAGCAGTTGCTAGGAATAAATAAATAGATAAATAAGGATTAGTTATCTAAACCATATGCTAAATACAAATTGTCCATAATTCATTTGAAATGTTTCACACTAGTTGAGCATCTTATTTGAGAATGATAACAACAAAGTATAATTCTAGTTAACTATTGCTCATTAGAAAATATTGTCCTGACTTTCTGAAAATAACTACACAGAAGAAGATTCTGCTGTAGTACTTGCCAACCATGATCGTAGTAAACTGACAGGGAAAGTAAAGGTGGGTAGGGCAATTGCATGGGCAATATCAAAACAAGGAAGGCACTGCAGGAGGCAGACTGAAATGGAATTCTTTTTCTCAAGGATAAATAGAAACTAAGAAAACCTGCTACTGACATTTGTTGCATGATCGAGGACATAAAAAGGCATATGTGTCCAGGTGCCTTGCACCCCATAGTTATCTGGTAGTCAATTCTCTGGGTCATGGAATTTGGTGGCAAGGCAGGCTTTTTGGAGTCCTCTGAAGTGATTGGTCCAAGGCTTGCCTTCTTTCCCTCTGATTTAGACCATCTCATGGTCAATAATGCAGGAGTGAGCTAAATGCCAAGAGACAACATATACCTTGTCCCACTTTGTTTATGAAAGATTGGTTTCACTCCGAACTAAAGAAGTGCATATGTCAATTAAGGCATGCTTGAGGCTACCACTAGGAACTAAATGCTGGGTGTGGCCTTGAGATGTCATTGAAGGGAGGTGCATTCTGTTGGGCCAAGGACTGAAGCTAAACCTGAGCCTAAACTATTGTGGTCAGAGCTGTATTAAAGCCAAACCATACCCAAGGGCTTGGGGAAGGTACATTCTCTTAGTTTTAACACCACCCAAACCTTTCATATTTAGTGATGACAGAAGAGGCAGCCACAATTTTGATGCTGATATCGAATCATGAAGAAGTTGCCAGAGAAAGAAAGAACAGTTAATTAGGAATAACTAATAGGAGAAAAAGGCTTTTAAGAATAATTTCTGTCAAGGGAAAAAAGAATTGTGGAAGACTGTATTGATGGATGACAAATCTTAGAGGTGCTCAAGGGAACAGGAATCAGTTCAAGTCCTGAAAATCAAAAGGAGAAGGCAGAAAGAGAAATAGAAAGAAAGGGAGATGAGCAAGGATAAGCCTGATCTGGGAAATTTGCACACGCTGATGAACATGCACTCATGTGTGCACAAAGAGCTTCTGTCTGGGGTGGTGGTGATAATTTCCCAGATACATTTACTTGTGGAAGGTATCAGCTGGGACTACATGGACCCCAATGTTGACCTCAATTCACTACTTTTCAAGTAATTGTAAGTTGGAAAAAAATTACTTAATATATCTAAAGTTCAGGTTACTTGTTTTAAAATTAGTAACTAGTAGACTTGCTTCATGGGGTGGTTAGTAGTATTAGATTGATTAATCAATCTAGAATTTCAATAATATGTTGGCACCTTGTAACCACAACATATATTCTAGCAAATACTATTTTTTCAGTAATTGAATTAATTCAAATTTTACTGACACCCACTATATTCCAGGCAACTTGCTAAACATAAAAAGAGCAGGTCTCACCTTCATGTTGCTAAGATAGTGACCTGTTGCAAATGAATAATTATAATGTCACATGAGCAAGAAATTGTAAGTAAATCATTTAATCAGAACCCCAAAGAAGGGGTTTTGATAGAAGTCTTGCAGGGGATAGTAGTATATTCTTCCTGAGAAGTCAGGAAAGATTACTTCTGAGCTAGGACTGTGACTAGAGTTAACCTCGCAGACTAAAACTAAAGTTGTTTTTTTTTTTTTTCCAAAGGAGGCATTATTGTAGGAAAAGTAAAAATGATGTACATCCTGGAGGACAGAGAAGTTTGGGAAATTGTAAAATGTCTGAAATAGGTGCTGTAGTAGGCACTGGGAAGGAAAGGTGATACGCAGATACTTCAAGGCTGGCTGCAGAATTTTTTTTTGTTATTATTTTTTTAATTGCTTTTATTTTTTAAATACACAACAGCAGAATGCATCACAATTCTTATTACACATATAGAACACAATTTTTCATATCTCTGTATAATAAAGTATGTTCACACCAATTCATGTCTTCATATATGTAATTTGGATAATTGATGTCCATCATATTCCACCATCATTGCTAACCCCCGGCGCCCTCCCTTTGCCTCCCCCACCCCTCTGCCCTATCTAGAATTCGTCTATTCCTCCCACGCTCCCTCTCCCTACCCCACTATGAGTCAGTCACCTTATATCAGAGAAATCACTCACCATTTGTTTTGGGGGGATTGGCTAACTTCACTTAGCATTATCTTCTCTAACTCCATCCATTTACCTGCAAATGCCATGATTTATTTATTTTTTCTTTTTCTGCTGAGTAATATTCCATTGTGTATATATGCCACATTTTAAAAATTCATTCATCTACTGAAGGACATCTAGGTTGGTTCCACAGTTTAGCTATTGTGAATTGTGCTGCTATAAACATTGATGTGGCTATGTCCCTATAGTATGCTGTTTTTAAGGACTTTTGGGTATAGAACAAAGAGAGGGATAGCTGGGTCAAACGGTGGTTCCATTACAAGTTTTCCAAGGAATCTCCATACTGCTTTCCATATTGGCTGCACCAATTTGCGGTCTCTCCAGCAGTTGTATGAGTGTACTTTTTTCCCCACATCCTAGCTAACAGTTATTATTGTTTGTCTTCATAATACCTGTTCTGACTGAAGAGAGAATGGTATCTTAGAGTAGTTTTGATTTGCATTTCTCTAATTGCCAGAGATGATGAACATTTTTTTTATATATTTGTTGATTGATTGAATATCCTCTTCTGAGAAGTGTTTGTTCATGTCCTTGGCCCATTTTTTGATTGGGTTATTTGTTTTTTTTGATGTTTAGCTTTTTGAGTTCTTTATATAACCCAGAAATTAGTGCTCTATCTGATGTGTGAAGGGTAAAAATTTGCTTCCAAGATGTAGGCTCTCTATTCACCTCACAGATTGTTTCTTTTGCCGAGAAGAAAATTTTTAGTTTGAGTCCATCTCATTTATTGATTCTTGGTTTTAATTCTTACACTATAGGAGTCTTATTAAGGAAGTTGGAGTCTAATCCCACCTGATGAAGATTAGGGTCTACTTTTTATTCTATTAGACGCAGAGTCTCTGGTTTAATTCCTAGGTCCTTGATCTACTTTGAGTTGTGTTTAGTGCATGGTGAGAGATAGGGGTTTAATTTCATTTTGTTGCATATGGATTTCCAGTTTTCCCAGCACTGTTTGTTGAAAAGGAGGCTATCCTTTCTCCAATGCATGTTTTTGGTGCCTTTGTCCAATATAAGATAATTATAATTTTGTGGGTTTTCTCTGTGTCCTCTATTCTGTACCATTGGTCTACCAGTCTGTTTTGGTGCCAATACTATGCTGTTTTTGTTACTATTGCTCTGTAGTATAGTTTAAGGTTTGGTATAGTGATGCCACCTGTTTCACTCTTCTTGGGAAAGACTGCTTTAGCTATTCCAGATGATTTCATGATCGCTTTTTCTATTTCTATGAGGAATGGCATTGGGATTTTGATTGTAATTGCATTAAATCTGTATAGTGCTTTTGGTAGTATGGTCATTTTGATAATATTAATTCTGCCTATTCAAGAGCAAGGAAGATCTTTCCATCTTCTAAGGTCTTCTTTGATTTTTTTCTTTAGGGTTCTGTAGTTTTCATTGTATAGATCTTTCACCTCTTTCATTAAATTGATTCCCAAAAAGTATTTTAATTTTTTTGAGGCTATTGTAAATGGGGTAGTTTTCCTTATTTCCCTCTCAGAGGATTTGTCATTGATATACAGAAATGCCTTTGATTTATGGGTGTTGATTTTATATCCTGCTACTTTGCTGAATTCATTTACTATTTCTATAAGTTTTTCTGGTGGTTCATCACATCAATAGTCTCAAAGATAAGAATCATAAGATTTATAGATGCAGAAAAGGCATTTAACAAAATACAGCACCCCTTCATATTTAAAACACTAGAAAAACTAGGAATAACAGGAACATGATCTCAACATCCTAAAGGCTATCTACAGTAAGCCCCAGGCCAACATCATTCTAAATGGAGAAAAATTGAAGGCATTTCCTCTAAAAACTGGAACAAGACAGGGATGCCCTCTTCACCACTTCTATTTAACATAGTCCTTGAAATACTGGCCAGAGCAATTAGACGAAATAAATTAAAGGGATACAAATAGGAAAAGAAGAACTTAAATTAATTAGCACTATTTGCTGATGATATGATTCTATACCTAGAAGACCCAGAACTTGTTAACATTGATGAATTAGGAGAGCATCTGAGGTCCATGTGTTAGAGCTGTGGGATGGAAAAGAGACTAGAGAGGCGACAACCTGATAGGGAGACCTCCAAGGAAGCTGCAGGGAATGAGGCCTTCACTGATTTGGCCCAGCCCAGTTTTAAAGTTGGGGATACCCCATAGAATGCAGCCAAGTCTCTCCTTTTCTACTAGGGGTAAACAGATAACAAAAAAAGCAAACAAATCAACAGAATTAACAAATAAAATTGAGGAGCCAGGCATAGTGGCACACACCTGTAATCCCAGCCACTCTGGAGGCTCAGGCAAGCGGATCATGAGCTAAAAGCCAGCCTCAGCATCTTAGTGAGGCCCTAAGCAACTTAGTGAGATCCTGTCTCAAAAAATAAAAATAAAAAAAAGTTCTGGGGATGTGGCTCAGTGACCCTGGGTTCAATCCCTAGTACCCCACACAAACAAAAACAAACAATTGAGGAATACAAATGATTAAATAAAGGTAGAATAAAGCAGGTAGAAAGGCCTGAGAGGAAAATGGAGATGCAGAGGAAGACACCTGTGAGCTGGGATCAGAGATCCAAGACACCCTGGAATCTGTGGTCAACATTTGTTATATACCTGTATGTGCATTATTCTAAGAAGATTCCATCCTCCTCAGTATATTAAGATGCTTATTGAAATATCTGGGGGATTGAATCTAGAGCCTGGTTTTCAACCCAACGGAACACAGTAGTATCAGTGGCAAAGTAGTGCAAAAAATTCTCAAATATATTAACTCTTTATTATAAAGAATAAGACTAAGAAACATTTTTTAGTAGTCAGATATGTTTTGTTTCAATTTTTTCTTCTATATCAACCTGTTATGGAAAATGTGTGTGTGTGTGTGTGTGTGTGTGTGGTGTGTACTCATTCATTCCTCCCTTTCCTCCTCTCTCATTTCATGGAGCTTGGTAGGAGATATGCATTTGTGGGTACAAAATTGGGCTCAATCTAAACGTATCCCAGACAGAAAGAAAGACATGGACTTTTGTTCTTCCTGTCCTAAGACAGATGACCCACCTGAAGGGGACCGTCCCGCTTGCTCTCAGCGGGATACTGTTCTTCCACACACAGGACCACACAGACCCAGTCTCTAGAGTGAGGGGCAACGCCTCTGGAGGCCTGTGCCCAGGCGATCGGCCTGGAGCCTACTGGCCGCCACGCGGAGTCCTCAGCCCCGGGCCGCGGAAGGCCGGAGGAAGCCCGGGGAAGACCCCCGAGGACCGGGGGAAAGGCAGGGGAGGGCCAGGAGGCCTCGGGGAGGGTCCCGGAAGCTTCAGGGAGGCCGCGGAGGCCCTGGAAGGGTCAGGGAAGGCCGGGGGAGGCGCAGGCCGCCTCGAGGGCCGCTGGGGCGGCAGTGGCTGCGACCTTGCCGGA